GCCCCAGGTATGGGAAAATAATGAATCCCCTAACAAAAACAAAACCCTATGAAAGTATAAAAATTTATTTTTGCAGTAAAAATACCACCAATATATTTTTATTTAAAAAAAGAAATTGCCAACAATATATATTTGTAATAAAATTTTCAGCAATACATTTTATAGCAAAATGACTAACAATACATTTTATCTGCAGTTGAAGTAATACAATTATGTTAAAAAGATATTTAGTTGAAGCCATAAAATTGTGTTCAAAATATTTACATTTTGGCATTAAATAACCCATAGAGGTTGATATGCCCCTAAACAAAATCCACCATCTTGCCAGGAACTGCTGCTTTGTGGAACACACTCCTGACAGCATGTTTTCCCAATCACTACAGTCTTTACCTCTGCAAGGCTAGGCTTAACTGTTGTTTTTCCTGTGTAACCTCATGAACTTCACTTTCTGTCTTATGCTCATACAACACCATAGAATAACCCTCTACCTTGAGTGGCTCTTAGCCTCGTCTTGGGTGAACATTAGTTAAAAAGATCACAAGTAGTTATATTTAAATCAATCTTTCTGTACACATTCCTGGTTGTTATATATATATATATATAATTATTTATTTAAAATATGATTAAACAGCTACATAAGGGTCTCATGTTTCAAAACAAGAGCCGAAAACTTCAATAATTATTTGAATTAAAAGTAATTAGCTCTGTTCCATCTTCAAGCGAAAATTTTTTTTTTTTTTGGAAAAAAAAAAAAATTTTGCTTGAAGATGGAACAGACTTTACTTTTTAATTCAATTTAATTTTTAATTCAAATAATTATATTGAAGTTTTCATATTCTATTTTTTAAAACATGAGAACCTTCTTAGCGATGTTGGAACCAATATTTTTTTAAATAAATAATTATATTTATATTCTTTTTTGTATCGAGCAATTTTTTTACAAATAATAACAAAAAATACTAAAGAACTTTGGATTATTTACCTAACGAGTTCTTTCTTATTTTTTACACACACACACACACACACACACACACACACACACACACACACATATATATATATATATATATATATACTTTAGAGAGAGAGAGAGGAAAAATGTATGAGGAACTGGAAAAAGTTTTCTTGTGATGTGTTTCATCCTTTAGTTCTATAAATCTTGCTTGGTTGCCAATTCACTTGAATACATTCATGCCATCATTTTCTTGAAGTTCATTCTCCTCCACAGTCATTAACAACTTCTTTCATTAAGCATAATTTTTTTTTTTTTTTTTTAATAAGTTCACCCCCAAGCAAGGCAGTACAGCCACTAGCATTCAAGGGGTTTCAGGGTGGTGAGGAATTAGGATCTAAAACATTAGTAATAAATAGAAAGAGAAAAGAGCAGTCAGGAGGAGAGAAGATAGTGATTGACATTACATTAAAATTTTTGCAGATTAAAGTTGGTTGGAAAGCATGGAGCCAGTGGGGAGTTCCACAAGTGAGAAGTGCAAGATTAGAAACTGTTAGCATAGAAGCTATGGCTACATCTTGCTAGCTCAACTGTAAATTGATGAGATCTCACCTTCAGTCTAGTACTGCAATTAAATTCAAAAAGTCTAGGTACCATAGCAAAGAGCTCATCTGAACAATTACCATGAAAGTATTTTTAGAAAAGTGTTGAGATGTTGTGAGTTTCCCGCGTGTTGGTGTATGAATCAAGACAAATACAGTTGTAGAGGAAAATACTGGTATATTCATGAAAACAATTAACAATAGAGTGATTAGTAGAACGAAGGTTGGTTAGTACGAAACAATATCCAAAGTCTATAGTCCAACGGTATGTAACTGGTAAGCTTATGTGGGACTGCTGTATTAAATTAATATTTCAGAAGCTCTGTCTCTGTCCCTCATTTTCTCCAGAGCTGACTTATATAAGAGGGACCAGTCCATTACTAGTTAGAAGGTGGGTGTGACCCAACAAAAAAGGCACAGAGAGATAACCTTATGGCAGTGGGAAAGTGACTGAAGCCGAACCACCAGATCAGGACCATTAATATTGCTGATTCTTATAATAATTAAACCCGATTAAGTGGTCATCAAATTGACTTTAAATATTTAAAGAAAGATTTCTGACTTTTGAAAAACTGCAGTACAAGCGTTGTTTATCACTTGGATATTTTTGCCTCAAACACTGGCTTCAGGCAACTTCTCTTGGGTATTTGTTGTGCAAAATGGGTACATTTTTTGATCAAAATCTCTTTTTCAAATTATATTAGCACACTTTCTCAATTTCCTTCAGTGTGGTATGCCACTTCAAGACATTGACGATCATAGCTCTCCACAATTTTCTATCACATTTAGTAACATAAGGCAGTGATAGCACCTACCATGAATCTATCGTAAAAATTCAGGATATGGAATTCATAAATACCAATCACTTTAAATATCTCAGTATTTGGATGTTATAACAAATTTTTTATTATAATCAATTCATCCCAAGCAAGGTGATAATGCCACTAAGGTGCAGCGGGTGCTGGAAGTGAGAGAGAATAAAAAAGACTTTAGAAGGAACCAGAAACCCAATCAGGAATATGGAAATTGAATATATAGGCTGTGCTAGGGGTATTTTCCTCCAACACCGCAAATTGCCTCAAAATGAAAACATTAACCTAAAAATGTGATTGTATGGGAACCAATGTTTCAACATAATATTGCCTCTTTAGCTTTGGATAGTAACCAGTTTATGAGAAGGACAATTCTGAATTCAAAACTGTTTTGGTTTGGAGTTAACAATTTCATCCCATAAAAGCCTTTTTGTTACAGCAACATCTAGTGTAGTGAGGCTGTGGCCCTATATTCCACAGGAGAGAATACACGGTGAGATTGGGACCATATACTGTACAATAGTGTCTACATGGTGGCTCTACAATCCATACAATCCTTATCTATTTGACATGTTTCTTTTAGGATGTTTATTGGCACTTTTACTATTAATTTGTTTATTAGTATACAGACTATATTTTTCTCTTCAGTTTGTTGTCAGTTCTTGAGAACAAAGAAAATGTATAAATTCACTTCTGTATGTTTAGGTTTTATTCCAATTCTAATCATCACTTTTTAAAACAAATATTGCTGAAAATAGTTTAAAAAATAGTGTCATGGGAAAAAAAATATATATTTTGACACTCCATCTTATTGTGGGCATGTTTATCCATGTTTTCCAACTTAATTTTTGTTACTTTTTTTTTCATAATGTTCTTTTAACTACAATTCTTTAATAATCTCAATAATCTCCATCCTGGGTAAGACAATAAACTACATCTGTGTCCTGGGTAAAATGATAAATTATGTCCAACAGCAAGGCCTCTGATCAGAAGGTTTTGAGGAGCATGGAACCACCTCTTAATTGCTGGTGTTCCCAGGTCCACCCTGAGCCAGGGTGGTAGCACCTGTTAGGGTCACAGCTATGGGCAAATAGTTACACTCCAAATAGTGGTCAAAACACTATGAAAGTGTAAAAATAAGTTTTAATACTAGCAATACATTTTTGAAAAATAAAATGTTACAATACATTTTTGAAGGGAAAAAAAATATTACCAGCAATAAAAATATTGTCAGCATTAATTAAATAAGCCATTTAGGCTGATATGCTGTAAAGCAAAGCAAACTAAACCAATCTCTGTATCCCAAGATTATCCCTATATTCCATCAAGCCTTCATTTCATGGTTCACTTCACCACAGAAATTTTTTCTTTGCAAAGTTTTTGTCATTTAACAAACCCTGACCCATTCAGCATAGCTCTACTCATGTAACAATTAACACAATTCTAAGGGCTTTTTAACACTTTGGAAATTTCCCCTTATATTTGTGCATAAATTATTCCTAGCAATATTAGGTGCTTCTGTTAAAAAAAAAAAAAAGAAGCCCCTCCTTATAATTTTTACTCATTTTATCTCCCCTATGTCCCAGTTTAAATTAATTTTAAATTATGCCATTGTACACGTTCTGAATCATCAGTGATTTGAAAAGACACACATAAAGTAGAGCCTGAAAGTTTGTTAACATTTCAGTGAATTTCATCAGACCAAAACCACATTCATTTACAGATGAGAGAAGAAACAGCAAATAAATGTGTGAATTGTTCAAAATCAACAAAATGGCTGACTCATAAATTGGTGAAATCATATGGAGATAAAAAAAAAAGATTCAAGTAGACATCTAAAATAACGATTGATTTATTGACTCATTTTTTATGTCTTATTATTAAATAAACTTTGCAAGTTATTTAAAGCCAATATTTTGAGATTGTAAGAATTTTTTTTGTTTTTGAGATAATCATGGTTCAGTTATAAATCTTACTAATTAACCTATATCTTGTTGGAGAAAAAGTGTATTCATACCTAATTGGAATTTGATAAACAAGAAATTATTATCTTGACATAAAGTGGGGATCAATTCTATATTACAATCAATATATGAACAGATTCCTCACACTGTTGTGGCAGTATTCTAAATATATATTATATATATATATATATATATATATATATATATATTATAAATTAACTGATTTAAAATATGGTTTTAAAGCTACACAGTAACCATGTTTTAAAAAATGGAAGCTAAAAAACTTTAAATCATATAATTAAATTAAAAGTATTAGTTCCATTTCATCTTCAAGTGAATAATATTCCAGAGAATGTAAATAAATCTAAAAGGCATAGCTAATCAATATTCCATTGATTGATTCATTTTTATGGCTTATCAACCCTTTGCAGGTTATTTAAAGCCAGAAAATATTTTTAGATTGTAAGAATTCTTTTTTTGTAGATAATGGTTTAGTGATACAAGTCTTAATAATTAACACATTGCTGGTGGGAGAAGAGGTGGATTCATACCCTTCCCAAGGGTATTTGCATGTAAGTGAATATAATGAAGCCAACGGGAAATGAAACTCAGCTCCCCAATTAACGATTATTTGCCTTATCTATTGCACTACCTACATATCCAAGGTTAAAGCACTTGGTATTCTCAAACAGTCACCCATCTAGGTACTGACCAGGCTTGATGTTGCTTAACTTTGGTGATCATATGAGAACCAGTGTTTCAGCACTATGTGGCCGTAAGCCTGTCAAATAAATATAATGCATAAATTGCCCACACAGTTGAAGTGGAAAAAATTCACTGAAGAAGTTCTTCTAGATGGATGAAATGTATATACAGATTTTTTTTTCAACTTTGTCATTCATTTGCCTAATTTTCTTCTGAGATATATATAAATATATATGAAGAAAAATATACTGAAAAAACAAACAAAAGTCCTAATATTCAATTATGACGTTTCGGCCTAATAGACCATCTTCAGGACATATTCATAAAACATAATTAACATAGACCATATATAATTCAACATGAAAAAGACGGACATAAAAGCAATACCAATCCAAACAGATAACTGAAATCTTTTATAAGATCAGCGTTCCATTTAAATAATTTATGAAGCAGGCATAATATCTATCTCACGCACGGTGAACACTAGACCTGGATTCTTTAATATTTCTCCTTTTCTAGCAAGATTAATGCTCGACAAACATACATATAAGTTTTATATCAAAATAAAATTCTTTTCGTTTTTCATTCAAAATACTCAAATTTTAGGAATACGTTTTCACAACGTTGCCCACATGACGACGACATGATCATATTTAAATGGAACGCTGATCTTATAAAAGATTTCAGTTATCTGTTTGGATTGGGATTGCTTTTATGTCCATCGTCTTTTTCATGTTGAATTGTATATGGTCTATGTTAATTATGTTTTATGAATATGTCCTGAAGATGGTCTATTAGACCGAAACGTCCGACATTGACATTAAACATTAAAACAGCATAATTGCATATTAGGATTTTTGTTTGTTTTTTCAATATGTTTTTCTTTATACTGTCGGATCTATATCCATATATTTGCTTACATAAATATATATGCAAATATATGAATTGCACATTATCATAAAGGAAGAAAATGAGAAACTACTGAGGTTATTGAGTGAGTATTCAGTGACTACTGAATGGAACTATCCAGTTGAATTAGTGTGAATTATTGTGCATCGATGTTTTGGGTTTTGATTTAGGATTTACCGGACGTTAAGCCGAGTCACGCTACTAACAAGGTATTCACTGAAATGGTTAATTATCTTTGGTCAACTTTTACTTCTTTGTTCTTGTTAAGTATTGATTTTCGTTTTTAAAATTAAATACTGTTTTATCTTAACACTGAAGTCTTGAGTTATACTTAACTATTAACGGCCACCATATGTCACAAAACACAAAGTGCTGGTATACACTCAGCTGCTGAAGATTGCATTTAGCATGAAACTCTGAGTAGAGCAAATGGTGTGCGATATGTATATTTATTTATATACATTCTGTCCATAAAGTTCGTGTGCACTTTAAAAATTTTATAACTTTATTTGTATTTGCGATAGAAGTAATCTGTAAAAAATGTTATAAAGTTTAATGTACCTAGTTTTAAGTATAGCTAAAATAACTAATGTGATTTCAGGCATTACTGTAAATCAGTTGGCAAATGTTTTCCGTGAACTGCAAAATCGTATTACCCTTTGTATTTCTAATGATGGAGGACATGTGGAAACTTAAATAAAATTTCAATAAAACCTTAAAAAATAGATTTGCTTCTTTCTAATCCTTTTTACAAATTATTTCTATCACAAATACAAATAAAGTTATAAATTTTTTAAAGCACACACAAACTTTTTGGATACCCTGTATGTATGTGTATATGTATATATATATATATATATATATTCTCTCATCTCATGAATTTTGTCATAAATTGTTTAAAAGGAGAAAAAATTATTTGGGCTGATATTGTCACAGTACTGGAAATTATTTTGAGACTTTCAATCATGTGGAATCTTCAAACAGGTTTAGACTTTCAGCAATGTGTTAATTGATGGAATATGTATGTGCCATATGTGATACATGCTTAGGTGATCATGTGTCTTTCCATACATGACTGATGAGGCAGATTTTTTTCCCCTCAGTAGTTTGCCATTTCTTTATATTTACCAGTATATATCAATATATATAGAACACAGTCTGTCCTGCTATTTACCCACAGCTGGGGGGAGAAGAAGATCATAAATTTTTAAATATATAAAGCACATAAGTGAATATAATGGATTTAATATGAATTCAAACTCAGATCTCTGATTCCTCAATCTGAGTCGCTATCCATTACTCCACTGTGCCTCTATGAGTACAAGATATAAAAAAAACATAAAATAAAACAAAATGCATAGCATAAATATATAGATTTGATTTTAATCTTTTTTTTCAGTAAAAAAAAAAAATATTATTTTCATTAACATTATTTTTGAATATATTTACTAAATTTTGCTTTTTATGCCAAAGACTGTTGGCTCTAATACAAGAAATCTTCATTATTACTATTATTTTTTTTTCAAAGTTTTATTCCATCTTATTATTGTTAAATTTTTATCCTAATTTATATAAAAGAATATAAACTTTTTCATTATTATATATTATTTTATTACTAGTTTTATTCCATCTTAATTTGATTCTTTTCATCCCAACACTCTATTTATATTTGAAGAAACAAATATTCTTCATTATTTATTTTTTTATTACTAGTTTTATTCCATCTTATTATTGTTCTTTTTATCCCAACACTCTGGCTCTATAAATTTTTTTCATTATTACTATTATTTTATTACTAGTTTTATTCCATCTTATTATTGTTGTTTTTTAGTCAAAACACTTGGCTCTATAATTTTATTTTTAATAATTAATTTTATTACTATTTTTATTCCATTTTATTATTTTTTTTTTATCCCAACAATGGCTCTATAAATCTTCATTATTACTATTATTTTATTACTAGTTTTATTCCATCTTATTATTGTTATAAATTTTATCAAAAAAACAGGCTCTATAAACTTTTCATTATTACTATATTATTTTATTACTAGTTTTATTCCATCTTATTAGAAATTTTGTTGCTTTTTATCCCAACACTATTTCATTTGGTATTAATTTTTCATTATTACTATTATTTTATTAATTAGTTTTTATTCCATCTTATTATTATTGCTTTTTATCCCAAGTTGTTATTGGCATATATACATTCTTCATTTATAAAAATTATTTTATTACTAGTTTTATTCCATCTTATTAGTGTTGCTTTTTATTGTTTTCTCTCTTACCTCTTCATTATTGCTATTATTTTATTATATCTTATTGTGATTTTAAATAAACTCTCCAAATTGATACATTTTATATTATCACTATTATGTTATAACTTCTATACTAATACAGTGGGTAAATGTCATCAAATCAATTTCAAAATGATTAATCAGAAAAAATAATAATCAGATCAAATTCTTTTGTAAGTAACTTTTTTTTTTTTTTTTAAATATCCAGGCATACACATCAAATTCTAAATAATTTATAGAATTATTTTTAATCTAACATTATTTTAATTTAAAAATTTTATTATGGACAACATCATATTTAAAATAGACGACAATGAAGAACCCATATATATCCTCTGTTTGACATGGGAAACCAAAATTTTGATCTGGTGTGCTAATTTTGGCCATGGAGCAAATACAGCAAGCAAGGTTGAAAAAGGAAAAAAATAGAACCTAATTTAATTACATTGTTCAATGAAACAAGTAGTAAATATATGGATCAAATAATTATAATTTAAAATTAAATATATTTATATTTAATTTCTATTATAAATTAATAAAACATATATATATATACACAATAAAACATGTATATTTTTCTTTAAATCCACAGCCAAATAGTGAAAAAAAGCATTTCATTTATATAACAAATTATTTTCAACATAATTTCCTCCTTGTTAATGCACTTGAAATTCAATAGTGAAATTTTATTAATTACATATATCTAACATAATATATTGAAAATTTTCAGAACAAAATTTAACAGTAATAATTTTTATTAGTTTTTTGAAACAAATTAATATATATATATATATATATATATATATATATATATATATATATATATATATATATACATGTTATACATATTTATTCGAATTTGAAAAATAAAAAAATAGAAAAAATTTTCCCAGCTTTTGGACACAGGATTGAAAATTAGAACAAGAAATAAAAATTTTTTTAAGAGATGTGCCCAGAATGATTTGGAATAACCACCTGTCTTAAAAAATTAAATAGTATGTTACCAAAATGACAAAATGAAATATGTATAAAATTAATATATAGATATTTTTTATCTGTAAATAATATGCATCAAGCACTGTCAAATTATACATGGGTTTAATTTAATGATAATTATTTATTTTTATTGCCTGTATACACACATATAGCACATGTACATATTCCTTTATTAAATCTGGCCATTTCATTTTTAATTAAATACATCTAATATATATATATATTTTCAGGCACAGTGGAGTAATGGATAGCATATTGGATTGAGGAATGGAGAAATGATTAATAATTCCAGTCGAATCCATTATGTTCTTCCTATCCATATATGAAATACCCTTGGGAAAGGTATGAATCTTCTTCTCCCTCCAGCTATGGGTAAAATAGCAGGACAGACTGGGTTCTATAGCCTTGGATGGCAACTGGTCTAGGAGAAGGACAACTCTGAATTAAAAAACCTGAAAAATTTTTTTGGGGAACCTTGTGGCATTGTGATTAAAGGTCTCTGTATTCAGGCCCTTAAAAAAGTGTGGATATTTTATATACCATCTATAATCAAATCTCAATGTGCCAGTGTCAATTATAAGGTCAAAATTAAGATTATTTATGATCTGCTTGACGACCCTCAAATGTTGAATAAAAAAAATGGGAAAATATTTATTTTATATATATATATATATATATATATATATATATATATATATATATAAAAAAAAAGAACAAAAAAAATTTATAATTTTAAAATATATATATATATATATATATTCAAGGCAATGAATTTATTTTTTTATACATGTTCTGCAGAATTTTTTTTTCTTGTTTTTTTTTATAATTTTTTTTATTCAGTTGGCAAAGGCATGAAACCATCTCTTCTCTGCCC